GCACAGGCTTGCACGGGACAGTCCGTGCTAAATGTCCAAGTGTTCACTGACCAACTGAACCATTTGCCAAGCTACAGGCCCCCGAGACAGGGTTCCCACAGAGCCCCTCAGGGCTGATGAAGGTCCTGAAGTCTTCCCTGGCACCTCCAGTGTCCCGTCCGGCCCCGTTCCTTTATCCACAATTCCAAGTTCTCCAAAGCTCTGAAACGTCAAGGTTTTTCAGACTTGATGGCAAAGCCGCACTGGAACTGATGTGCAGCCATTTATTATGGTTTCTCCCCAGTTCCTTTGAGGAGCAGTGCTCCCTGACAAAAGTCTTAACGTGTCATTACGGGGTACCCGGGTTCCAGACAGGTGTCGAGTATAACGTATAATATACACAAAGAATTCTGAATTCCAAACCCCGGGTCCCGAGCCTTTGGAAAGGCTGGGGCAGTGAGGTGTCCTCACACTTGTCACTGGTCTGGACCAGGAGGAGGTTCCCCGTCCTGGGAAGGGCGGACTTTGGCCACAGAAATGGCAGAGTGACCGTGCTGCTGCTGTGACTTTCACACGGATAGACTGTGGGCTGGTGGTTCAGAGATGTCAGAGCCCTGGGACCCTCTTTGCCCTGCCCCTGGGCGGATGGAGGAAGCAAGGGGCATGCGAGGGGCTGGAGCAGGAGGAGGGTTTCCTGTCTGTGGAGGGTGCAGCAGGTCACCTCCCTCCAAGGGGTCCTTACCTGGAGACGTGGTGCGCACAGGTCTGTCCCTTCCTGGGGGACTAAAGGCTCCCGATGCGCCACCTGGGAGCACTCCAGGCTGAGGGTAGCAGGAATGTGATTGTGACAAGGAGGATGGGGGCACCCGTGTTTGTGAGTTCTGTGTATTCACTGCAGGTCCGGGGCGCCGGCTTCCTCCCATGTAAAGGGGGCGCAGTGCCCCTCGCTGCCCTCCAGCACAGGACGCCAGGACCCCTCTGGGTCTGCCAAGCAGAGGGGGTTGCAGAGCCGGAGCTGGCATGAGGCAGCCAGACCCCACGGGGCAAGTTTTACGGAAGCGCCACCGGGCAGGGTGGTCGGAGGCCCAGCTGGGGACTGGGGGCCATGGGGACAGGAGTCGCAGTCCCGGCCGGCAAAGGGACAAGGGGGGTGGGGCCGTGGGGATGGGGACCCTGCCCCTGACGGATGGAGGGGAGGGCGTGGCCGCCAGGCTGCCGGCGCGGGGATGGGTGGGGGGCGCCGGGTCCCCGCCCCCGCGGGCCGCGCCGGGTCGCGCGTGGGCGCGGCGGGCGCCGATTGGCTGCCGGGCGCGCGGGCGGGGCGGGCGGCGGCGCGCGGAGGGCCGGTCACCCCGCAGCCCGGCCTCGGCCTCGCCGCTCATCGCCGCGCCCCGCCCCGCCCGCGCGCCCGCCGCCGCACGTCTCCCACCGGCGGCCACCATGAGCACAGGCCTGCGGTACAAGAGCAAGCTGGCGACTCCAGGTGAGCCTGGCGCCCGCCCGCGCGCCCGCGCGCGCCTTTGTCCCCGCCGCCCGCCCGTCTCTCACCGTCTCTCTCTCCGTCTCTTCCCCGCCCGCCGGCCCGGAACCGCCCGGACCCGGACACCGACCCAACCCCGACCTCGACCCAGCAGAGGACAAGCAGGTACGTGCGTTCCGCCGGTCACCCCGCTGGCTGTCACCTATTGTGGCACCGACGCTGCGGGCGCCCAGGCGAGACCCCGCCCCCGCCGGCCCTCACCCCACCCTGTCGCGATAACCGATTGTCAGCCGGGCGGTGCTGCAGTGCCTGGGGCTGCGGATGGGAGGGGTGGGCGCCAGGCCATGGGGCCTGGCCTCTGACCCTCACAGCCAGAGCGCGCACTCCTCCCAGGATGGGTGGAGCGGCCAGGCGCCCTCCCACTGGTCCAGCGCCTGCATCCTCAGGCTGACCTGGCCGCGTACTGAGGGTCCGGAGTGAGGCCACTGGTGATGGCAGGCCACTGGCTGGGAGCCCCTGCACCACCCAGAGCCCCCGGGTGCGGGGTCTCTGTGTTCAGCAGCCAGCACAGAGGCCCTGAGCAGACCCACAGGGGAGCCTTCCCCCACCCCACCCCGCTCCTCTGCGTCTTAGGCCCCTTTCTCTCTCCACACCAATTTGAGTGGCTGGTCTGTGGCCAGGCCTCTTCTCCAGGCTGGGAGCCTCCAGGGCCTGGTCTGAGTCATCCCCAAACCCAGCAGAGGGTCTTCCCACCTAGTGGCCATCCAAAGCCGTTGGCTTGGTCTGCACCCTCCAGGACCCGGCAGGAGGCTGGTCTGGGCACCCACTGTGAACCCCAGGTGGAGTCAGGGTGAATGAAACAGAGCTGAAAACCCAGAGAGTGAGATGGGGGTGGGTAACCTGGTGGGCTGGGGCTCTGGAGCAGCCCTGCTGGGGCCTCTCTGGCTTGTTTGTGGGAGAAAAGACAGGCCCAACCTCGCACCAGGGTGGCCCCTGGCAGCCCTGGTGAGGATGGAGGCTCGTACAGCAGGTAGATGCTGGGTGGAGCCCCAAAGTGCTGGCTCAGGGTGAGGCAGGTGAGCTAGGTTCGGCCCAGCTGGGAGTCACTGGCTGCCTGATACCAGTCTCCTGGCAGGGACACACCCTGCCCTGGGACTCCTGAGGCTCATGGGGAGGGGCCCGGTGTCAGCCTCACCCTGCCGGTGAGGGGCTCCCCAGGGAGCCCAGGCCGGGAACTGCCTCCCCATCGTTGGTGGCTTGGACAATGCCTGAGATGCAGGGACACACACCGCCAGGCCATTGTTTGAGGGAGAGAGGGAAGGCCTGGAAGATCAGCCCCCATGGCTCCTGGGCCTGCAGTCACTGGCCAGGCAGTTGCTGCCCAGCACCAGCGAGGGCCCTTCTTGCCGAGGTGTAAGTCCCCTCAGGCCTGTGTCTGCACCCCCTTGAAGTCAGCTAGGTGCCAGCCTAACCCATCCCCCGCCCCTGGGACCTGAGGGAGAGGGCACCATGCAGCTAGAGGGGGAGACCCGGGAGCAGGGCGAGGGAGCCAGGTGTTTGGGGCAGGAGCACATGTGGCTTCGCTGTTACCGTTGTTGGTGTTACTGAGCCGCAGCCTGTCCACACTCTCGCTACTGAAAGGGGGTGGCTCTCTGGGCTTCCACCCCATCTCAGGAAGCAGGGAGGGCTCTGGTGGCCGTCGGCGCCCTCCCTCCGATCCCCGTCCAGGCTCAGGCAGTGATGGAGGCTCTGTTGGCTCTGGTGCCTGCTTCCAGAGCTGACTCGGGTGATTCTAAGAATGGAAATGCCTAGAGAGTCTCGGGCTCCAGGAGGAGGTGGGCGCAGCTGTGTCTGGGGCTCGGGAAGCCCTGAGAGGAACTGGTTGTGCTTCAGGGCCAGAGAAAGGGGGTGGCAGGGCCCCTTCTCCGGGGCTCTCCCAGGGAGGCCACTGGCCCTGTCTGGGCACAGCCGGGTGATGGGGCAGGCAAGGTGGGAGCTGGGAGTGAGACTCTCACCCTCCCGACCTACGCCTCCCAGAGGCTGTGCCTTACCAGCGGGGACAACGAGGCGATCTGGGAGCCACAAGCTCTGCCAGACACCAGGCTCCCTCTCAGCCTGAGCCCAGACCCAGGTCTGTCTGTCTTCCTGGAGATGCCCTGGGCCTGAAATGCCAGAGTTCTGGGTGGGTGTTGGGCTGAGCGCCATGTCTCAAGTGGGCTCAGCCCAGAGGCCTCCTGCAGGTCAGCATGGCCAGTGAGGAGGCTTTCTTGGAACCAGGACTGGGGGCCTGTCCAAAAGAGCTTGGGGCCCTGTGGCTTCCCCACTCTCCATCCTCTCCTCTCGGATGAAACGCGCCCCTGTGCCCAGTGTGGGCCGACTCCCCATCAGGTGCCGGTGGCTCCAGCACCACCAGCCTGGTCAAGAAGACAGAGGCTCCTCGACCAGGGGTGGGTAGGGGAAAGCAGGGGGACCTCCTGTCCCTACTGACGAACACAGTCTAGGGGGGCAGCCTCTTCATACCCGGGCTCCTTGCCAGACCTCCCTTCTGTTCAGATTCTAGGTGGGAACTGGAGGGGATGGGAGGGTTTGGTGCTCAGGAGCCCACTGTGGTTCCTGGGTGGCCACATGTGTGCCCAGTTCTGTGGGTCAGAGGGGCTCAGAGGGGATGGCCGCGGGAAGGGGGGCCCACTCCACACACCACCTCTGTTGGCCAGGGCTTTCTGGGGACAGCCATGACAGCGCACGGGTGGCCTTCAGGTTAGTGGAGCGACATGCTGGTCGCAGCATCCAAATTTCCAGAGGTGGGACGGGGTAGGTGGTTAGAGATCTGACTGGCTCCTTCCTGCTCCAAGTCTCCTTGGGCCTGGGAGGGGGTGGATAGAGCAGTGGAAGGATGGAGGGTGGGGACAGGTCCAGGCGCAGGAGGTTGGCTCTGATTCCTGGGGAAGGTGGGCTCTGTCCTCGTCCGTTTCCCTCACATGCCTTGGGGGCCACGCTGGTTAAGTAGCCCCAAACATACACACAAATATGCACACACGAGGGGGGGGGGGAGGGGGCGGGGGGCGGGAGGGCAGTTCAGCCTCCAGCTTCCAGTCGAGGGGAGGAGGCCGTGACGGGAGGGGTGTGCCCAGGGGTAGTCCGGACGCCGTGTCATCGCCAGCGGTTTTGGGTGGAGTCTGCGAGGGAAAGTGGGGTGCATGGGCCGGTCGCGTGTGGGTGCGCGTGGGAGCGGCCTTTGGCGCCCTCTGGCGGACAGAAGCTACAGCGCAGCTCTGGGGGGCGGGACGCAGCGGCCACAGTCCCCCCTTCCCGCCCCCAATGGCCCGCGGGTGGGACCCGGCCTCACCTTCCTCCCGCCACGCGCCCTCCCGCCTTTACCCCGCTGTCCCGGCGCCTGGCCTGAGCCCGCGAGTCCGGCAGCGGGGCTCCCTGCCCGCGCCGCGTGCCCCACTGCCCCCCGCAGCAGCTGTCGGTGGCTCCGCCCGCGGCCCAATTTCCAGGCGACCGTTTCCCGGCGACGGCGGGCGGGGCGACTCCGCGCAGCCCCGCCTCCGGTTCGCGTGCGGAGCGGGGCCGGCGGTGGCGACGCCGCGCGTCTCGGGGCGGGTCCGCAGAGGCAGGGGGATGGCTCGCGCGGCCTCCGGGGTCGGCGGCATCCCGGGTGGGCCACGTCTGGTTTCCCGGCCTCGGTCCCTGTGTCCCTGAAACGGGACCGAGAGAGCAGGGCTTCGAGGCACGACCGCGTTTGAGTCCCCCGAGAATTTCGGGCCCGTGTCGGCCTGACCCGGTTTGGGGGTCCGAAGGCGCCCGCTGGGCCCGGGGGTCGCTGTGATGGATTCCCTGGCGGCGCCCCAGGACCGCCTGGTGGAGCAGCTGCTATCGCCGCGGACCCAGGCGCAGAGGCGGCTCAAGGTGTGTGGGGCGGGGAGCGGAATGTGGGTCAGTGTCCAGGGCTCCCCGGGGCGCGACGGGCCGCACGGGGCCAGGTCCACAGGTGGCGGCGCGGACCCGCGGGGGCGGGGCGGCTGGGCGCTGGGATCTATAAATAGCCCCGCTCCAGCGCCGCTGCAGCCGCCACCCCCGCGGCTGGATCCGGGCCACGGGGCCTCCCACCCCCGGGTACACTCGCGAGGGGTGAGTATTGAGGCCGGGCTTCTCCTGCCCCTGAAGGGCCTGGGCATGTCCCACGGGTCTCAGTGTCGGTGCCCTCTGTCCACCACTCAAGGGAGGACACTGCCTGTGTCCGCTGTGGCCAGACCTCGCTCCCTATACACACACACACACACACACACACACACACGCAGACACATGCACACAGTCTTAGGACCCTGCAAACCCCTCCTTGAGGCTGGGGCAAAGGTGCCTTCGCCAGCCACCCCCCTGACCTGTCTTCCCACCTCCTGGCCTTTGCCCACAGGCCTCACCCCTTTCTGCCATTGAAATGCCCCACTCTGGGGGCTCTGTCCTCTGCTGCCTCCTTGCCGGAGCCGGGATGGGGGACGGCATGGGGCTGCCCAGGAGCCCCAGGGTACCCCTGACCTGCCCTGCCCCTGCCCCCAGGATATTGACAAGCAGTACGTGGGCTTCGCCACACTGCCTAACCAGGTGCACCGGAAGTCGGTGAAGAAGGGCTTCGATTTCACGCTCATGGTGGCTGGTGAGTGGTCCAGGCTCCCCGGTGGGGTGGCTGGGGCCACCGGCTGGCCAGGTTCTGTTGTGGGGCCCTCTGACCTCATCCGACTCCTTCCCTGTATCTGTGGGCAGGTGAGTCGGGCCTGGGGAAGTCCACACTGGTCCACAGCCTCTTCCTGACCGACCTGTACAAGGACCGGAAGCTTCTCAGTGCTGAGGGTGAGTGAACCCCAAGCTGTCCGGGCACTGGTCACCATCCCCTCCTGTGTGACCCCTCCTCAAGGGGTGCCCTTCCAGGTCCATCCCCCCTCCTCCCTCCCCATAGCATGGGGCTTCTGTTCAGGGTCCTGCAGGAGTGGCCTGAACCACAGCAGGGCCCCGTGGCTGGGGCCAAAACACGAGGAAGGAATGAGAACAGCATCCTGGCTGCCCAGGGGGAGGGGGAGGCCCTGTCAGTGAGGCACCTCCCAGCTGTGTCTGCCTCCCCCGCAGAGCGCATCAGCCAGACGGTGGAGATCCTGAAGCATACGGTGGACATTGAGGAGAAGGGCGTCAAGCTGAAGCTCACCATTGTGGACACACCGGGCTTTGGGGATGCTGTAAACAACTCTGAGTGGTGAGGCAGGCCTGGCTGGGGGGGCAGGACCCGCCCAGCTGACCCAGCCTCCCCCGGTGCCAGCATGCTGCCCTCACAGCCCGGCCTCACGCACCCTCTGCCCGCAGCTGGAAGCCCATTACCGACTACGTGGACCAGCAGTTTGAGCAGTATTTCCGCGACGAGAGCGGCCTCAACCGCAAGAACATCCAAGACAACCGGGTGCACTGCTGCCTGTACTTCATCTCTCCGTTTGGGCACGGGTGCGTGACTGTCCTGAGGCCAGGGGCCACCCGCCTCCACGGCCATTCCTCCCTGAGCCCTGCCCCTGCCTCTCCCTGCCCCACCATGACCCCAGCAGCCCCTCACCACCCTGGCTGCTCCCTGCAGGCTGCGGCCGGTGGACGTGGGTTTCATGAAGGCTCTGCATGAGAAGGTGAACATCGTGCCCCTCATTGCCAAAGCTGACTGTCTGGTCCCCTGTGAGATCCGGAAGCTGAAGGAGCGGGTGAGCATCCGCGGCAGTGGGTCTGGCCCAGGACTTGGTTCCAAGAGCACCAAGTGTGCCGATCCCGGGTATCCACACACCAGGCCCAGGGGACCTTGCCAGCCCTGAAGCTGACAGCCTTGCCCCACTGCAGATCCGGGAGGAGATCGACAAGTTCGGGATCCACGTGTATCAGTTCCCCGAGTGTGACTCAGACGAGGACGAGGACTTCAAGCAGCAGGACCGGGAACTGAAAGTGAGTATGCCGTCCAGTGGGCGGGGAGGGAGCTAGAGTCCAGTTCACATGGTGCCTGGAGGAGGCCGGGTGTCCAGGTCCCACGTGGGGGTTGCAGCAGAGGTCTGTAGCCTGGGCAGTAGAGTCTCTTCGCCTAGCCCGAGAGGACTAGGGGCACCCATGTTCCTGCCTGCCCACAGGCACAGCTTCTGGCCAGGCCCCCACCCTAACCCTGCTCCTTGGTCGCCTCGTGAATCCCCAGCCACTGGTTGTGTAGGCACTGGCTCCCAGAATTCTGTGCAACAGAGGATGGGGTGGCTTTGAGTGCCCCTGCACCTGGAGTGGTTATGACCAAGCTCAAAACTGGGGACACGTGGTCACAAGGCCAGGAGCAGGGTTGGGCAGGATATCACTAGGAGGCATAAACTCAGTTATAGGCAATAGGACAGTGGTTCTCAACCTTCCTAATGCCGCGACCCTTTAATACAGTTCCTCATGTTGTGGTGACCCCCAATTTCATTGTTACAAATTGAACATAGTTAAAGCATAGTGATTAATCACAAAAACAATATGTAATTAAATGTGTTTTCCGATGGTCTTAGGCGACCCCGGTGAAAGGGTCGTTCGACCCCCAAAGGGGTCACGACCCACAGGTTGAGAACCGCTGCCCTAGAACAAGCATGTCAAACTTGTGGCCGACGGACCGCATGCCTCATTTAAGTAAATGCCGGCTGCGAGTTTGACATGCTTGCACCTAGGCTGTAGGCTGCAGGCTGCACCAGCTCTGGCCTCAGCCAGCAGCAGGGGGGCTGGGGGGTGAAAGGGGTTTCCACGAGGATCTCTTTGGGGGAGAGGTCATTGATGGTGATGCTGGCGGAACTGACCAGGCGCTGAGTGCCCATGCCCCTCTCCAACCACTAACCCATCCTAACTGGGCGTGAGCCCTTGCACCTGCCCCTCTGCAGGAGAGTGCACCCTTCGCGGTAATCGGCAGCAACACGGTGGTGGAGGCCAAGGGGCAGCGAGTCCGGGGGCGACTGTACCCCTGGGGGATTGTGGAGGGTGAGTCCTGGCATCCGGCACAGCATGCTGGGTGGGAAGGCTGACCCTTGGCTGGCGCCCCACCCACTGCACGCTCCTGCCCCACAGTGGAGAACCAGGCGCACTGCGACTTCGTGAAGCTGAGAAACATGCTCATCCGCACACACATGCATGACCTCAAGGACGTGACGTGCGACGTGCACTACGAGAACTACCGCGCACAGTGCATCCAGCAGATGACCAGGTGCACCTTCCCCCGCACCTGGGCGTGCACCTCCTGGCCTCAGACGCACCTCCATAACCAAGTTGTCCTGGCTGCCCACCCAGACTTGAACCCTGCCCCAGCCCCCAGATCGGGCTCCCCAGCAACTTGTCTCCCCAGCCCAGCCCAGAGGTGTGGGAGCTCAGGAGGGCAGCCTTGGTAGTGGTGAGGTTGGCTGAACCTCCCAGCAGCACTGTTCCTCTTGTCCACCCTGCAGCAAACTAACCCAGGACAGCCGCATGGAGAGCCCCATCCCCATCCTGCCACTGCCCACCCCCGATGCTGAGACGGAGAAGCTTATCAGGATGAAGGATGAGGAGGTTGGTGAGGCCTGGAGCAGGGGCGGGGGTGGAAGGAAAGGCTAGCGGCTGGGGATTGAGCCGGGACCCTCCCATCTCATTTCTCACCCCACCTTCCGTGGTTCCTGCCCCACTTCCCAGCTGAGGCGCATGCAGGAGATGCTGCAGAAGATGAAGCAGCAAATGCAGGACCAGTGACCCCTCCCCAGCCCTACGTTGCCATGGATATACTGCCAGTTTCTGGACTGGCCTTTTCCACTTCTGGACCCCGACTGGCCTGGATTCGACCCTGGATTCATCTGGATCTCTGACAGGCCTGGAAGCAACCCCAATCCCAGAGTGGCCTAGACCCAGACTGTTCCTGACCTGACCGAGAGACGTGGGGTCACAACCCCAGCCATCCCTAATTTATTCTCAGCAACAGCCCCTCCCCTCACTTGTATCTGTTTCCATGGGGCCTGGGCAATGGCCCCCACTCTGGCCTTGGAGGAGCAGGAGCTGGTTGGGCTGTGACTTTTGAGGACCCCCCCACCCCCACTCCCCGCCATCTCAGAAGGTCACAGCCCTCAGACTCCAGGCCCTACTCAGGCAGAAGAGGGGAGCAGATCCCCAGGGTCTCGGACCTATTCCCCCACCCAGTGTCACAGCACAGACTTGGGAGCTGTGTCCCCCTGCTCCCGTGGGCCACCCAGCACATGCTGAGACCTCACTTGGTGTGGATGCGGGCCAGGTCCTCTCTTCCCTCCTCACCCAGGAGCTCAGCAGGCAGATGGAGCACCCTAGGCACTTAGGGTCCCTCCAGGCCTAAGGAGGCCAGGATGGAGCGAGGGGTTGGGATGCAGTGATAGCCCGTGCCCCTCCCCCACAGCTGTGGTTTTGGGAGGGCTCCAGGAGCAGTGGGCTGTGGGCCGTCCCCTGGCAACCCCCATGCCTCGACTGCTGTTCCCTGCCTGTGGCTGGGGGTCCTGCTCCCCAGCATCATTGTTGCCCTGGGTTCCCCAGCCCTTGGCCCCGTCCACCATCACCCCCCCACCCGCATGAACCCCTTCCCCAAACCCCATTCTCCAGTTTTGTTAAGTTGTGAATGCCCTCCTGTCCTGGTGACGGGAGAACAATGTTGGTGAACGTCGCTGCGGGTGTCCGAGTGCTCCTTTTGCCCCCAGGCCGAGTGGGGGCGGAAGTTCGGGCGGCGCTGGCCCCGGAGATAGCGCTCTATCAGCAGCCCGCTGCGCCTGCGGAGGCAGCCTGGGGGTTATTTCTGGCGGGGGCAGCTGTGCTGTGGTCGGTGTACCGGGAGCGCCGGGACCTGGAAGGGACGTGGCGGGCTTATCTCCCGGTTCTTGGGCAAACGCCTTCACTCCAGAGCGAGCCGGGCCGCCATCCTCTCGCCATGGGCTCTGGTGAGTCTGGTGGCCGGGCCGGGCCCGGCCACACCCTGAGCAGAGTCGGGTTGGGAGGCCCTCCACTCGTTCTGGCTGCTGTGGGGGGAGATTGGGGTCAGACTTGGAGGAAACTTGCGGCCAGTGCGCGGGGTGGTCGCGGGGGCGAGGCTTGCGAGCGCTGGGGGAGCGCGGGTCTCCGGGGCTGGAGGTCGGGCCGGCGCTCGGGTGCTAAGGGACCCACCCCGTTGCTGAGCAAGCCGCCCGGCTCACCGCGGCGCTTCCTTTCCAGGGCCGCGCGGGGCGCTGAGCCTATTGCTCCTGCTGCTCGCGCCGCTGAGCCGCCCGGCCGCGGGCTGCCCCCCGCCGTGTCGCTGCGCCGGGACGCGCGTGGACTGCGGGCGCCGCGGGCTGACGTGGGCCTCGCTGCCGGCCGCCTTCCCACCGGACACAACCGAGCTGGTGCTGACGGGCAACAACCTGACGGCGCTGCCGCTGGGGCTGCTGGACAGGCTGCCCGTGCTGCGCGCGGCGCACCTGAGCGCCAATCCCTGGCGCTGCGACTGCCGCCTGGTGCCGCTGCGCGCCTGGCTGGCCGGCCGCCCCGAGCGCACGCTCTACCGGGACCTGCGCTGCGCCGCGCCCCCGGCGCTGCGGGGCCGCCTGCTGCCCTACCTGACCGAGGAGGAGCTGCGCGCCGCCTGCTCGCCCGGCGCGCTCTGCTGGGGGGCGCTGGCGGCGCAGCTGGTGCTGCTGGTTCTCGGGCTGCTGCACGCGCTGCTGCTGGCGCTGCTGCTGCGCCGCCTGCGAAGGCTGCGCGCCCGCGCCATCCACCGCCTGTCGCTGAACGCCCTGCTGATGGCGGAGCCGGCCGGTGACAGCGAGTCCTAGGAGAAACGGACCGGCGCTGAGCGAGGTGGGCCTGCCAATTGGGCAGGACCCTGCCCCAGGAGCCCTTGCCCTAACCGGGAGCCACTCTCCTCCAGCCAGGCTTCATCTTCCAGGCCCCGCCCCGTCTGCAGGCCCTGGCCCACCGGGAGGTCGCTGCCAGCCCACCGCTAAGCCCTGGGGACCAAGTGCAGCCCAGACGCTGCGGAGTCCCTCACGCCAAACTCCAGTGCAGAATAAACCCTAACCCTTCTCCCGATCTGATCCGTCTCTACACCCACAGCCTGGGGACCCTCTTCCCAAAACCACACAAAAAGCTCTGAGAAGCAGTTCAAGGGGACACTCACCTTCCTACACCCCAAGTAACCTCCAAACATGCGGTCAGTGAGTAAACTCTCCCCAGCCACTGACTCTCACAGAAGTTCAAGTGGGGAGGGGACCCCAAAGGACGATGACACACTCGGGTAGTGAGGACACTGGGCAATGAGGACTCTGGGGAGAGTGAGGACAGTTTGGGGACAGTGAAGACACTGTGGACAGTGAGGACCGTGTGTGAACAGCCAGTAAACGTACAGCTGGTGCACAGAGTGGTCGGGGTGGTTGGGGTGGCGAGGCTTGTGGACAATGGGGGTCGCGGGTCTCCGAGGCTGGAGTCAGGCCTGGTGCTCTGGGTGCTGAGGGACCCCGCCCAGGTGCCCAGGAAGCCACCCGGCTCACCGCAGTGCTGTGGAGACAGCAAGGACACGGCGGGGACATCAAAGACAGTGTGGGGCAGTGAGGACAAGGGGGGCAGTGAGGACACTGTGGGGAGAAGGATCCTGGGGAGTGAGTACCCTGGTGGGGGGTCTGTGAGGACACTATGAAGACAGCCAGGACACTGGGAAGAGCGATGATACGGTGGGGACAGTAGCACACTGTGGGCAGTGGGGATGCTGGCAAGGTTGGACAGCATGTAAACAACACTGGGGACAGCAATGACATAGTGGGGAGTAAGACGGGACACTGGGGACAGTGTGGGGACAGAGAGGACACTGCAGGGCAGTTTTGAGAGAGAGGATGCTCTAAGTGGCAGTTTCTGGGGTCAGTGTGGGGCCATGGGGTGGCTCTGAGGACAGTTCTGTGTGTGAGGTTCCCCAGTGGCAGCCTTCGGAGCAGTCAGGGTGAAGTGGGGATGGTCAGGACAGCCTGGTGGCCCATCTGGAGCTCCCTGGGCATCTAGTGAGAAGCTCTGGACGGCAGGTGGGGCAGGGCCCAAGCCATGCAAGGCGGGGTCTATAGACGTCCCTGCAGGAGTGCGTGGGCACCCGGGGCTGCAGGGTCTCTGAAGTCATGTCCTCCGCGTGCCACGCTCACTGCGGGAAGGCACCTCGGACTGCACAGACCAGCCAGGGGCTTCTCGGGGCCTTAAGTCACCCCTGACCCCTGGCTGTCAATCAGGGCTGGGGACCCCACTGTGATTGCCCTAGTGCAGCACAGGCTGCTTACAGTGGACCATGGGGTGCCCCAGTGAGGAGCTGATGTGTCCTCACTCCCGCCCAGATGTGGCCTCCACCTGGCTGGCCCTGTGAACAATGGAGGCTGCTCTCCATGGACCCCAAACAGGACCCCAGTGGAGCCTCAGGCCTGGGCCTCAGCCGCCTGGCACAGGAAGGCCCGGACCCCTGCTGACCGGGTCGGGGAGGCTGCCGCTGACATGGCCTTTGTCCTGGCCTTTGTAGGACAAGACGGATGGCTCTCCGGTCGGGCTGATGCTATCTCGGGGCTACTGGTGGGACGTGAGGCAGGAGCCACCCCGCCTTTGTAGGCAGGTGCGAGGCATCCGGCCGTCCTTCCAGGCTTCTTATCACCACATCGGAGATGGTGGCTCCTTTGTGCAAATGAACTGCTACCCTGTCCTCCCTAGGGGTGGCCCAGCACCCCCAGAGCCCTGGTGAGGGTCAGAGGTGATGGTCGTTGTCACAGCAAGGAACACAGGCAACTTCCTAAACTTAGTCCCAAACATGGTGCCGGGAGGGGGCACCCCGCTACGCTCCAGAGGAGAAAACGGACCCCACAGATGAGTCTCCTGCTGGGCTCAGAGCTTCCTTCGTGGCTGAGACCAGGCGCCTGGGACTCCCTCACTTCTCCTCACTGAGGCCCTCGAGGGGGCAAATGCAGGGCCCAGGAGAAAGTAGCTCCAGGGGTCCTGGGAGAAGGAGGCTCCGTGGGCTGTGGGACGAGACCCCGGCAGGAGCTATGGGGAGTGGTCAGCAGGAGCCCAGCTTCACTGCCCACAGGCTTGAGGGCTCCTGGGCCAGTACCCAGGTGACAGAGTGAGCATCAGGGCTCTGAGGGCATGAGGGAGGAAAGAGGCTGGCAGTACAGTGTGGTCAGACCTAAGCAAGCACTTCTCACTTGGAGGATGGGGGGCTGAACCCCATGGTCCTCCCGGGATTCCCCCACCCCTCCTGCCTGTTCTCCAGGATTTAGCCCTGCCCCTACCAAGGTACTGACGGGGGGACACTGGCCTGGCCGCGATGGCTGACCTTCTCCAGGCTGCCCGGGAGCCCCCGGTCCCAATCCTGACCTTGTGCTGACCCTCTACACACTGACCCCAGGGCCTCAGCCCCCAAGGAGTGTGGGGAAGTGGATGGTCCCAGCTCAGTGCCCCTGAATGGCCCTATTCAGGGAGGGAGAGCACAGACCGCTCAGCCCACACCAGGAGGCCTACCGCGCCCCTCACCCCACCATTGTCCTCCATCTCACGGAGAACACCCCAATTCCAGGGCCCCTTCCCCACTAACAGGCTGGTCCCTTCTGTGGCCCCCGACGCCTTCCAGGTGGGGGTCCATTCAAAGGCTCTGCACAGCCCCCCACCCCCACATCTCCAGCTCTCAGGCTGGCTGATTGAGGGCCCCTTGCCCTGCAGCCCAAGGGGTCTGGGCCCACACCTCTGCTCCCCCAGCCTCCCTGGGCTCCCAGGACCCTCCCCTTTCCGTCAAGGCCCTCCCCGCCCAGGCCAGTTCCTGCTGTGACTATGTCCACACTATTCAAGGTCCTGCTCAAGCATGTCCTCCGCAGGGAGCTTCCCTGGCACATGCGCAGGACAGTGTGTCCTGGGCCCCTGAGGTCCGCCAGGGGCTCAAGCCACATCCCAGGCCTGCATGCAGCCAGCTAGTGAGCGAGTGACCGGTCAGAGGGTTGGAGAGAGCGAGCCTCCGCCGGGCCAGACGGCATTCCCCGAGCAGAAACAGCCGTGACCTTCCCCTGGGAGCCTTGGTGTGTCCTCGTCTGTGAAACGGTGGGTGCTGCAGGCGCCCCCGTCCAGTCCTCCCCTCGCGCGCCGCCACCCCGACCAGGCACCAGAGGGCGCTCGCGGTCTGCGGAAACGCAGGCAGGAGGGCGGTGGGCGAAGTGGGCGCTGGGTGCAGACGGCCAGGGTCCGCGGAGAAACAGAGGCCAAGAGACGGAGACTTGCCCAGGCTGGCGGGCGGTGGGGAGCCGAGAGGGGCGGGCAGGTGGCACACCCCATGGGGACGGGGAGGGGTGCGCCCTGGGACGCTGACAGATGGGGAGGCGTGTGTGCCCCCTCCGCCGCTCCCTTCCCCTCCTTCTCCCCGCCTCTACCCCCCCTCCCCCCCCCCCCCCCCGCGGGCTTGCTGACAGCCTGTCAACCCCGGAGATAAGGGACCTCTTCCGCCGGGCGGAGGGGAGGGGGTCAGCCCAGGTGTGCCCTCCGCCCTCCCCTCTGTCCCTGACGCCTGTTTGCTCCGAAAACACTTATTGAGCCCCTGCTGTGTGCA